TATTGCTCTCCCATTTAGCTCCAATTTATTCAATAAATTTAAACCTCTAAATGATTAATAAATATTAATCTAATTGATCGATTTATCTCCCTATGTTTAAGATATAACGTCCGTCAATTAATTTAATTACTGACAATTAAATTAAATTGACTTCTTTCATTTTCGAAACTAGTACCACACAGTTCATTAATCATTATGTCGGATAATTATCCACATGCAGGGTTTGACATAATATTCCTTCCAGAGCTCATTTGGGGATCTCATCAACCCAGCACACTAGGACATAGTGACTATCAATAATTTATAAAACACATCAAATAAACACTCTTACTTACCAAAACACCGAGTATGTCATCCTAACAATTAGGAATCACCATTGGTAAATCAAATAAATAAGTAATGATATATATATAATATATATATATGCCCTTTTTATATTATCTTACAGCTTAAGAGTATGCATCAATTACTGAAGGTCTTGATTATAACCACGGTAAGTAAATCTTGTAATCTTATCCTCCTGCGGTCTGTTCAATACTTATCATAAGTACTAGCGTAACCCATCAATCAAAGATCAACTGAATCAAGACTACACTACAGTCTTTTTCCAACAGGGGTCTTACTGCCTGTCTAAACTGTGAACAGTTAATTTATATTTTACAAGGAGTCGATAATATGATCTTTTTGTTCGACACGACAAACCATATTACCTACAATGTAACATAATAGAGTTATGATTGCATAAATAAATAAACTGTAAACATAAATTGTAACACCCCGCCTTATCGTAAAATCAGAATGCGAACATTTCGCAAAGTTATTTAAAAATAAAACCTTTTACTTTGCGAAAACTGATTCGGGGTGCTACCTTAAAATTGTGACTTAATTTGGAAAACCGTTACTTAAATTTTTAATAAAATCATACGGTTACTGAAAGCATAAAGTTTTCCAAAAGTCCATTCAAAATATAAGTTCGTCAAAAGCCATCATCAGCGGAAACGTAAATCGTCATATTATATATACAATCAAAACATGAAAGTCCTGAAGCCTTCGTCATCTCACGCTCCCAGCCCGACATCCTGACCTGAAAAACATGATAAAAGTGGGAAATGAGCACTATGGCACTGTGCTCCGTGGAAACTCATACTATTGTAAACATTGAAAATAATAACAACATCATGATATCGGCATATACATAACCTCAACATGAAACCGGTAATAACATGAACATGAATCTGATATCGTCACGCAACGTGACCCTGATCGTTACGTCATCTGCCGGCAAAAACTAATGCCGGACACCATGTGCACACTCTAGTGGGCAGACTAGGGCCACTAGAACCCAGAATGGACCGGCGACCATTCCGAGCGGATACCTCACATGAAATACATACCTCAAACATAGTACCATAATTATAATCAATGTAGTACTTAGTCTGAGTCCCCACTTGAACTGCTGAAACTGAACGGTAGTGCTGATGCCTGATCAAACTGAAAATAATATAAACAAGTACTATTGACTATGCTCAGACTGTTAACTTAACTGATTAATTTCGTTAAGATGCTCTACTGAACCTGACATGATATTTAGACTTAACCGAAATAACCGGAGCTGAACTGACATGAACTGATCGGACATGAACTTACTGAACTGAAATAATCCCAGAAATTTATCGTAAATACCATTAAAATCATGAACCGGGCTGAAATCATAACTTACGGACCGAACCGTTTTTAAAAATGAGTCTGAACCGGTCCAGCCGGTCTGAACCGGTCTGGACCGGACTGCCGATTGGCTGAACCGGGCAGTTGGCATGGGCTCGGCCAGCAGCCTGCCGGGCTGCGCACGCTGGCGCCTTGCACAGATTGCCGCGACGCTGGGACTAACTGGCGGACTGCCCGCGTGATGAAGACCGTGTGTCTCGATTGCCGACAAGCCGCTCCCGCGCCTTAAATCGTTCGATAGGTGTTAGGAAGTCGCACACTCGCAGCCTTTCTAACGAATAAAGTTGCAAAAGAATTCAAGAAGAAAACTAGAGCAAGGAGTTTGAACAAAAGTTCGGATTTTTGTATTAATTTCTGAATGATTAAATTAACTAGAGGAAGGGCCTTTATATAGGCATCAACTAGATCTAGTCCTAATATAACTATAACTCTATAAAGGAATAAAATATTAAGTATCCTAAACAAACTAGAAAACAAGGAAATAAAATATTAATCAAGCTATTTAATTTATTTCTTGCTTGCGCCCCAAACCGCCTTGCCCGCGTCCGTGTTGCCCAATCCTCGTGCGCCTAGGTAAGTGTGCGTGTGCACCTCGTCGCCTGCACGTTCAATCCCGCATCTGTCCCCGATAGTGTCGCGCGCGTCGTCTCCCGCGTGCGCGCGTCCGTCCGCATATCGCACCTCGCTGGCACGGCGACTTAACCTCCTTCGCGCATGCCACGCGCGACTTGCTGCATTTTTGAGTCTTCTCGTCGTGTCCGCATCATTCCCGTCCCCTTCAAGTGCTTCCTTGTCCTCAAGGAAGAAATCGGGGAACATCTCGCGCATCTCGTCCCAACTTTGCCATGTCGCTTCCTCACTCGGCAAGTCTTCCCATTCGACAAGCACCTCCCAAAAATATTTTCTAGCCTTTTTGCTTGCCGGTACTCTATCGCACGGCTCGGCCGCACCATAACCTGCCCGTCCGGCGCGACCGCGGGTAGTCGATCCTTTGCTGTGTACGTCTCGCCGAGTCGTTGTTTGAGTTGTGAGACGTGTATAACCGGATGAATATGGATCGCCCGGCAACTCAAGTCGATAAGCAACCTTCCCAACCTTGGCCAAAATTTTATAAGGGCCGTAATATCGAACTCCGAGCTTGGTTGCGGCCCTTTGCACTGCCGTCCTTTGCCGAAACGGCCTCAACTTTAAATACACCCAGTCCCCGGGCTCGAACTCCACGTCACGCCGCTTGCCATCATGGTACGCCTTCATCCTATTGATCGAGCCTTCCAACGTCCGCTTTAGCTCGCGCAACATTATGTCGCGCTCGACCAACTCTCGATCGACCTCATCGTTCACAGCGCTCCCCATCGAGTAACTCACGATCGTCGGCGGTTTGCGTTCGTACACCAACTCGAACGGCGTTGCCTTAGTCGAGCTATGGTAAGTGGTGTTATACCAATACTCGGCCCAAGGTAAATAATTCTCCCATCGCTTTGGAAATTGATGCACATAGCACCTAAGGTGTTGCTCGAGCGTGCGATTGGTCACCTCTGTCTGTCCGTCGGTTTGTGGATGATAAGCTGAGCTCATGCTTAGCTCGGTTCCCTGTAACTTAAAGAACTCCGACCAGAAACTACTCATAAATATCCGATCTCGGTCGGAAACAATTGACCGTGGTGTTGGAACATATGAGGATCTCGATATGCACAAATCACGGACAAACATTCAACAT